ATATAAAATTCCTGATCTTGTCCTTTTTGATAAATCCAATGAACTCATTTATATCATTGCATTTTCTGTCCCTTTTGACACTAATGTGATTGACAAGATTAGGGGAAAACATGGCAAATATGCAGACCTCGCTTTCGAAATGTCACGCTTGCATCCCAAGTACCAAGTTGTCCGACTCCCCTTTGTTCTCGGTGCCTTAGGTTTGGTACCTCCCAATCTGTTGACTGACATTGGGAGAATACCCAGGTTTGCTACCAGGAATACAATCTGGGTAATGCAGAAGGCTGCAGTGTTGGGGAGACTCCGAAAAGTTCTGGGTGGGTTTGACTAGGCAGCGCTTCCTGGGAGAAGTCCCATTCGCTGTCTGGGCTGCGTGTAGAGGGGGCGAGGGCCCTGAGTTGACGATTAGCCTAACCAGCCTGACTGTGCCAGGATCACCCAAACCCTCTTTGCTGCATTTTTTAATTTTAATTTTAATAATAATAATAATAATAATAATAATAATAATAATAATAATCCATAGATACTGAAAATAACAAGTGTGTTTGAGACAGGTCAAATAGTAAAATGTCACTTCATCGATCTATTGCTGAAAAAGAATGATTCTTCAATCAAAGGACATCATTATAAGGGAGCATTATTGTCATTTAAGATAATTCTTACAGGAGAATATTTTCAATCAAATGCTATCATTGAATAGTAGTTTATTTACTTATGGTAATGTCATCATTATTTAAGAATTTACAAGTTTTTAATTAAATAAAAGCACTTCACAGTCCAAGTATTTCATTAACATAGCCCCTGTTCAAAAGGCCTACAGTTAAGACACAGATAACACACAAGCCATGAGGCTTTCTCAACTTAATTAATGTTGTAAGTCCCAATTAAGCCTTGATAATATGGCAGTATATCATAAACTCATGATGGTTAATTAAAGGTTTACATGAGTAGCTTAAGATTTATATTATCCAAGATGACATTCAGGTGAAGGTTGTAGTTAATTAGGACATGTGGCATTGGACACTGGGAAATAATTACTTCAAAATCATTTCACCTTAAAGTTGAAGTTCCCATGACATTGTGACCTTGGACATAAAGTTAATTACAGATGTATGCAAAATGGGTTTGTTTGTTTGGTTTTTTAAGAGTCTGGACCAGACAATCCAGTGATTGACATCATGAGCATCGATCTACGCAATTGGGACCGATGACATGCATCAACCATGTCAGCGAGCCTGACCATTCGATCCCTTGAGTCGCCTTTTAAGACAAGCATAGTCGCCTTTTACATCAAGCATGGGTTGCTGAAGACCTATTCTACCCTAGAACTTCATGGGTCGTATGCAAAATGGGAACAATTGTACACCATGCATTGCCTGTAAAAAGATTACCTCCTACCAATTTTGACAAAATGACCTTAATCTCTGAACTCTTATAACTATGAGGACAAATTCATTTTTTAAGTTACTTTAAGTGATGGATAAAATAATACGTCTCCAGCAGCATACAAATCATCATTCTGAAGAGATAAGCAAACTAGTTTCATAAACATGTCCATGCATGTTATCAGGTAGACAAACTGGAATCTGGCACCATGTCATGATATCAGGAACAATAAAACGCCAAACAGCGAGGCAACAAATAGACACCATGTGCTACATCTCCAGATAGAAGAAAAAGAACCCTTGTGAAAAGAAAATTGGAAATCTTCAAACTGTAAACAAAGTTTGAATTCCCAAACACTCTCTACACAGACAGGTTTCCAGCAGATAACCGTACCATGCACTTCATATCATTTTCCTGTTATTTTAGTTATTTTCATTAGGCGTGTGTTTCTGATATGATGACAGATTTTAGAATGTTCATAGTTTAAACCTTACAATTATTGCAAATAGCTCGGAGTCATGATGGATTTTTTGTGCAACATTTTCCAGAGTAATTTGGAGAGCGGAACACATGCTGTTTATTACGTAGTAAACTGAACATCAGATTCGGTGATGGCAGTATAAAGGCCTGGCATCAAATACGTTCATTGCATGAGGCATCATCAACAATGGCAGCCTGATATCTCCAAGATAGAGGGTGCACAGAATAATATTTACCATAGATATAAATACCAATATAGACTTAATCTTGAATATTATGAATCTATTAAGATAATGTAACATTTGGCAAAAAACAAAAACATATTGAATAAAATCTCTTCCAGACATCCCTCATAAGTTGCTCACCCATAAAGAAGTTATCACCAATACAGAAGACGTTATCGTCAATAGATAATTCCAGTACTGACATTATTGTCAATACTAAAGTTGACATTATCAATACTAAATTTGATAACAAGAGTACTGAAGTTGGAACAAGAATACTAAAGTTGATAACAAGAATACTGAAGTTGATAACAAGAATACTGAAGTTGATAACAAGAATATACTGAGGTTGATAAAAAGAATACAGAAGTTGATAAAAAGAATACTGAAGTTGATAAGAATACTGAAGTTGATAACAAGAATACTGAGGTTGATAAAAAGAATACTGAAGTTGATAAAAAGAATACTGAAGTTGATAACAAGAATACTGAAGTTGATAACAAGAATACTACAGTTGATAACAAGAATACTGAAGTTGATAACAAGAATACTGAGGTTGATAACAATAATACTAAAGTTGATAACAAGAATACTAAATTTGATAAGAATACTGAAGTTGATAACAAGAATACTAAAGTTGATAAAAAGAATACTGAAGTTGATAAAAAGAATACTAAAGTTGATAAAAAGAATACTGAAGTTGATAACAAGAATACTGAGGTCTATAAGAATACTGAAGTTGACAACAAGAATACTGAAGTTGATAAAGTAAGCTACCATTTAAGGGTACCACAGAGACTAAAATTCAAATTCAAATTCAAAACATGAAATCATCAATTTGTAATATAACATTTCTATCAAACTAGGCATATAGAATTTTCACCCCAAGAAATGACTTACACCAATTACATCTTTAAATCAACATTAAAAAGTTTTAAGAAAATATTTGAAACCAAGTTTCACTACATAACTCATTCAATAGGGTAGAAAAGTGTTTCCTGATTTCAGTCATACAAGCATCCAGTAAAGGTTGTCTGTGTGAGGATGTTGGAAGAAGTATCACATGCCTTCGAGCCACCCATGCCCCCAATTAGTATTATTTAGTTATTCACATTATTGATTTGACATACTACTATTGATTTATATTTTATTAGATAGACCTTCATTGCATAACGATAGGTGTAATATAATAATATAATCCTGAGAACGTACTCTTGGCCTCCCAGATGTAGCCAGACAAGTGTTTCCTTTAACTTCTTTTGAGCAGTATATATCAGAAAGATGGAATTGAACAGAAGGAAGAATGCATCAGAAACCTCACTGGTAACAAAATCAAGTGATCATTGATTTCATTTTCTGTTGTCATAGATTAACATAAGGAAACTGGAAATTTCAAGAAAACCATTCATCACCAGTTCCTGAACTACATTCACAGTAGCCAATCTCAATTTCCCAGAAAGGTCATATACAGTTTCACAGGCCAGGATAGTCTTCTTTGATATAAATCATTGATTATTCTTATCTGTAAGCTATAGACACTGGCCTGGCCAAATCTACCACTGGGTTGTCAGTTGGCAATTGTTGTTAATCAGATAATCAAGTAAATACATTCATTATCTCACCAGTGAGTAAGGGAGTGAGGCTGGACTTATGGCGAAAGTATGGCCTCACATGCAGGAACTGCACAGTTGGACGCAGGATTGACACAGTGTGCACTTTGGTTTTTATGTTCATACTTTCATAAACACAAAATAAAAATCAAGTCAGTCAATAAAGAAGTCAAATAATGAATAAATGTGAGTGTGAGTGTGAGTGTGAGTGTGAGTGTGAGTGTGTGTGTGTCTTTGTTCTCAATCTTTTAGGAAACTAATTTTACATTATACTGATATTAGAATCAAGTTTATCCGTGAAAACGAATATTTAGTATAATTTGACCTATTTTGTCTCTGACCACAAACTATTCACAGTAGTTAAATTTTATATTCAGCACTTAATGAGCTAGTGCTTAACCTTCGTTTGTGACATATATATTTTTAGAATCTGTTTGCTGATGATGAACTAATCCTGAATAACAGAAACATGCATCATATCCAACCCTGAGGGGAGCAGGATATTTTTATTTGAACTGTCTACCTACTGAGGGAACCAGCATTAGCAATGCTATATATCGAACTCTACTTTAAGGCACATATATGGAGTGATGTGCTTACGAGCTCTCAATTTATATTTGTTGCGTGGTAATATTTGCTCTTAATTGATATTACTTCTGATATTTCTTTCACATTGTATCATCTTAGGAAAAATGTATCCCTTTCATAACAGATAAAATGCCAGAAATTTGATTATATTTATTATTCTTGACATGGCTATGTGTGAAATAGTGTTCAGCCTTTAATTGTGCTTGTCTTATGAGGACGAATAACATACTGGCTAATCTATTGCATGAACATAAACTGAGACTTAGGGGCACATTTTAGGGGCAGGTGCATAAGGGTGTAACAACTGAACGAACTCTCAACGCATTCACTAGGTCCATGTCCTGATACAAATACATCAATATAGCTCTACACCATCAATAGTATTGAGAAATGTAAAAATACACATATATGATAAATTCTTAACGTTTCATTCATTGTGAATACAAAAAGTTTTGCGAAAATATGTAAGTGGTATTTCTTCGCAATATGTTCATAAATTTAGATTTGATAATAATAATCAGAGAAGCTTCAATTACAGATAGTCACGGCGTCACACCAAGGGCTGCATTAACCTGAACCTGTGGCCTGAATACATCATAATCAAATTACTTTTCTGCACACATCAGAAGATTAATCCTGATTAAATGTTTCTCACAAAACAAGTAATTAATTGGGTAAACATTGTATAGTGCCCTGTGTTTTTGTTACACAGCCTAGAGAAGCCATTTGTGAAATGAGCACTTGATGGATACGGTGGAGCTGCAGCTGTGGTACGTGGGAGACAAGCTTCGTCATCGTGTGGAACGATGCAAGGGATGTTACCATTCTATACTCATCATAGAAAAAACTATTGCAATAGCCACCCCCACAGGTGAAGAATGAGAAAAGACTTTTACTCTTATTGACCCAGAACTTCTACAGCACATTCATACCAACTTTCTACAAGTTACAAGACTTCATCGACAATTCCAGTGCCAGACAAATTGAAAACTGTCTGAGTCGTAGCCAGGAGTGTAAGTATAGCTCTACAGACAGTCAGGCCTTAGATCAATACATTCAGACACATTTTCTATGAGAATATACCAACAGTATAATTTTGATAATTGCAAGTGGTGTGAAAAACTTTTGCCAATAACAAGAATGTAGAAATGGAAGAATTTAAAACGTACATAATGACTTCAATCATTTAAATTGTGTTTAGACGGGATTACTTCAATCTTTTTACATCCTGCATTGGTTGGAATAGATTTGGGTTAGCTATGTTCAGGATACAATCAACATCATACAGCTGCTTATGACTCACTTGTACTGAGGCTGAAACATTTGGTAAGGCTGCTGGAGCTGCCAATATTCTATTGTGCAAGAAATGTTGCACCATGTGCAAGCTCGTGTCCTACACCAACTAACAACTGACAGTCTCTGATAACTATCACCAAGCTATGAGGTATTACTTCATACGTATATCCCCTCTGCAATTTGGAATAAATGTTGTCAAGGAATTGTCCCATTAGTTCCCGAAGGAAGATAATTTGTAATCCACAGCTGTGGCAGGGTAATTACCCAAGATGAAATCTAGGAATAGTATGTGGAGAAAACATGCATTGAGATCTTGCAGTCTTAGGTTTCTGCCATGTTCTATCTACTGTATGATATTAACCAACTGACAAGCATAAAAATAATTAAATGCAAGAACATTGTAACATGACTCCAAATACTTCTTTAACCCTATCAAATTCTTCTTCAACATGAAATGCAGAAGGAGCTGCTGCTCACCATTAGGTAACACATTCTCTTTTTCCTTTTCAGTTTATGGATTCAACTGTCCAGGACCAAACGATATAATAATAGAATATTTTTTATTTGTCTGACCTTTGACTGATTAATGAAATAAACAACTCATGAAATCGGAAAATTTGTTATCTGTTAGTTTCATAAATAATATTGAGTCAAATGAATTTTATAAAGTTTCTGGTCACAGCAAACTATCAACAGAAGCTTCCTCGGACAGATGTAAATATAAACCTTTTTTAGAATTACTATTTAATTTTTATTTTGACTCAGCCAAGATAATTATACAGTAATATACTGTAAATCATGAAATTAATGAAATTAATATGAAAAATGTGAATGTCTTGCTCACATTACTAAAGTGACATAATTTTATCACAGCATATTGGAGTTTATAGTCATGTCAGGTTCACTACACATGGGCCGAAACACTGACATACATAAAGCTCACACGTTGCAAAGTAAGGGCGAGATTCCATGTGTCAAGTTCATCAAGCAGTCATTATAGTCGCCTACCTTCTACCCAGTGTTGTGCATAACTTTTTAAAATGGTGTACATTATATAATTTTGATGTCCAAGGTCTGTGAAGAAATGAGATATTGCTGTGTTAAGTTTGGAAAATTTGTAAACAGAAAGATCAATGTATTTAAAGGCGCAGTCATCAATATGAAGCTTTACCACCCACTGACTGAAAGCATGAGCTACAGTCCACATAAGGACACGCTATCAGCCAAACCTCACAGCCTGACCAGTCTGTCACTCTAGTCAACCCTTTCAACAAGTATGGGATACTGGGGACCTATTTTTCCTGACATTCCCATTGGGTGGCCGGTATCGGTGTTGATGATTATGTGTCATTTTCAGACAATAAGTCTAGATACTGTGATCTTTCCATTGAACATGAAAAAAGCTGGATATAAACATGATTGAGAATCTTATACTGTTTCAACCACAAAAGAAAGATTTTGCTCTTTACTCAAATGTCAATCATTAAAGAGCATGAACCTAACATTGCATCTACAGACAGTGGTATTTCATCATCAGCTTGCTGCTGTAATTGCCACATTATCAAACATACAGCTCAGGCCGGTGACCTTAAGTGCTCTCTTCCCATAACATGAATAGTTTACTACTTGAAGTATGAGAAGGCCCGACTTTATGTTCAGTTGTTCAGTGGGTGAACATTTGTTTGTTTGTTTGTTTGTTTGTTTAACACCGCACTCAGCAATATTCCAGCTATATGACGGCGGTCTGTAAATAATCGAGTCTGGACCAGACAATCCAGTGATTGATATCATGAGCATCGATCCACGCAACTGGGATTGATGACATGCATCAACCAAGTCAGCGAGTCTGACCACCCAATCCAGTTAGTCGCCTCTTACAACAAGCATATAGGGGGTGAACGAGTATAGGTGCTGTCCAACACTATTGTCAGTAATACTAAATAATAATATTGTCCAGGATCTTGTTTATACTCACATATTATAGTTTACATCCCATTTAAGAATCTTTTAAGAAGAGAAGATTGTACCTAATTGGATACAGAAATTTGATATTTGGTCAAATAAGCTGAGGCTTTAACCACTTAGCTACCTCAATTGAACATGTATATTTGATATGAACATGTTTATATAAATTCCCTAACTGATATCTATTTCTCTCAGAGCAGTATTTATATCTGCAATGTTTTGCTTCTTTACCAATCTGGATGTCATTTATGAAATAAAATATGCTGAAACCAATGGGAGTTGAACATGAAAGCAGGACAGGCTCCCATGAACCACTGGGCCAACACTATTCAGATTTTCAGATTTATTGACTAATACAGATCTAAAGTAATCATTATACCCATTTTTATTAATATACCATTGATTTGATCAATGTTGCAGCTTCATGGAAATTTTTAGGGAAAATCACATTGAACTTTCAAATCTATTTTTAAAATTGTAAATGAATAGATAACAACGTTGGTCTCATCCCATGCAAATACTGATTTGATTTTTAAAATAATATTTATCTTCACAATATACATCTCTAAAAACAAAAATGTTTGTCGTTTCATAAACACATAATTTCATTGCTAATGCTATCTTGAGTTCAATAGTAACAACAGTTTATAACTAAGTGTGGGGTACACCTTAGAGTTGAGCAGTCAACTCAAGCTTTCAATTAATGCATGTGACAAAACAAAAACCTTCATCTTCAGCAAAATCACTAAACCATGATGTCCTGCAAGAGCAGGACAAAAGGACGACTCCTGCACGATATTATACTTCAAATAGTTCCAACACATACAAAATGTACAGCAGAAATTGTCAGAAACTGGAACTTACTGATATGAACAAAACATCTGCAACAAATAGACATCACCTGAAGATTCCTGAATCAATACCACAGAATCTACAATCCATACGAAACCAACAGAATCTGTCAACACTTGTTATGTATATCCTGACAACACCACTTCACATTCCAAAATCCAGACTCCAAATAGAAATTGATGTGAAATGTACACTATCCATGTTGAATAACAGTGAAACATAACATTCAATAAGTGAAATATACACATGGCAGAGAAGGACATCCACAGTGACCAAGGCGATCTTGACTTCAAGAACCCACACAGATCAACTGAAAAATCACTTGAGTATAAAGATAAATTTCAAGCACTGCTATAACCGCCACCAAACAGAATGGGCACTTTAGGTGCACAAGCGATCGACACTCACAAGCCATAACTTGGTCCTCTCTCAGAAAAAGCACAACATTTCTGAAATCCAATCCAACCAAATTGAAATGCACATGAAATATGCATCACTTAATCTGTGCAAACATGCAATTGACACCCGTTTGATATATACAAACAATGAACACAAACAAGGGATTGCTGCACATCCCAACTGCCACTCCGTCCCAAGCAATGCAATCCTCACACTGAGATCTCCCTTTCCACTCAACTACTGCAGATATAGCTCCCAGTAGACATATTCCTCGTATATTTTACCCTCTCCACAGCTTTAAGTCGTCAATATCACCAAACAAACTGATTTAACATACACTACCAGCGAACCATGCACTGCATACTAAATAATTACAGCACAGGCCTTTTGTTTATATATTGCTAGCCAGTACACTTGATAATCGTTAACTGAATTGCTCAAGGCTTGCGACTCACTTACGAGAATTCAGTCGTGTGAACTCAGCTAAGTGTCACAGGAATTGCTTATAACACTTCATTATGGGGAATGAACTTCAGTGCTCGTATACGGTAAGCTGGTATTATTATGCATGTAAATGGCGACTGTATCGGTAGAAATCTTTATGACCCTACTATCTTACATCACTTAGTGTTGTTACCATAGAATTGCCTTAATGTCATAAGCTGGGAATTGGATAAATAGATTATTTACATTAAGGGATGGTTTAATTTCAAATGGATGCATAAAGGGCCACTGAGATCCATGAATACGTTGTCATCATCATACATGATATTCGCAAAGTGTCAGTGTGTGTGTGTAACTGATGTTTTTGTTCTGAATGTATCTGTGGATAGTATTGATTTTTGTGTACACTGTCTTTTATTGATGTTAGTTATATGAAATGTATTATTAAGTGAAACAAATATGCTCATGCTATTTATATTTGTAATCTTTCCATAATGTTGTCATCACAGCTATTGTAAATAGATGATATACAACTCAACATTTGATAGGGACATTCTGAGTGTCCAGGTAGGAGACAATTCTGACAGGATGTTTAGAGGTGTCGTACATATAGAATGGTGGGTGGATCTGATGGATGTTAAGTTTCATTAGATAAAAAAAACAGAGGTAACCATTCATATATGCTTTTGTCTCCTGACTTTCATCATAGCGTGCGATTGGACAGTTTCCCTATCAAGAGTTGAGTGACATTGTTCAGATTCATGCATTCAAGTGAGTTTGGCATGAATGCAACAAAGATTAACTTCATTTCCCATTCATTGTTTAAGCATGCAATACCTATTGCAATATTGCGGAAATCTTCTAAAACTTTGCATGCATGCTCCCCAGTTCATTTTTGTTTATTATTACTTGAAGTTAAGATTAACATGCATCAGTTACTTGCCCAAATGTCATCCTATTCGTACACCCAAAAATCACATCCTATTCGTACACCCAAATCGCATCCTATTCATACACCCAAATCGCATCCCATTCATACATCCAAATCGCATCCCATTCATACATCCAAATCACATCCTATTTGTACGCCCAAATCACGTCCTTCTCATACACCAACATCTCCAGTGTTTAGGGCTTAGTAGTGTATAGATAAAACAATAAGAAAGGCAATTACATTTAGTATTGTTCACAGTTTTCACAATACAAGGGTTGATTGATAAGTTCTAGAACTCACATAGAAGGAGGCGTGTAACAGTATGATCATTTTTTGTGAGTGAGTGAGTGAGTGAGTGAGTGAGTGAGTTGGGTTTAACGCTGCTCCTAACAGTATTCCAGTAATATCATGGCTTGTCAGCTTAATGTGGGAGGAAAGCCCGAAGTGATGCAGATCTCGGACATTTACCACTTCAGTGAAACCCATGGTGCTGACAAATCTAGAAACATAATCGGGGCGAACCGGGATTCGAACCCACGATCATAGGTTTCTGGCATGCCCAAGGGACGCAACTCTGCACAGCAAATAGCGGCGCCTTAGACAACTGGGCCACCTGTGCCCCCTCTTTTTTTGTGGGCATTACATTATGTCATAGAGGTATATCCACAAAAGCGGTCCCAATGTGCCTACAGAAAGTAGGTGTAGGCACATGGGATATGATTTTCTCCCCTCTTAGGATAACGGAACATCAATTACATGAAGCGGAAGACATAATTTCTCAGAAAAATGGAACCTCCCTGATCGCTGAAAGTATCATCAATTACATGAAGTGGAAGACATTATATTTCAGAATAACGGAAAATTCCTGATCGCTGTAAGTATTATCAATTACATGAAGTGGAAGACATTATATTTCAGAATAACGGAACATCCCTGATCGCTGTAAGTATCATTAATTACAGAAAGTGGAAGACATTATATCTCAGAATAACGGAACCTACCTGATCACTGTAAGTATCATTAATTACATGAAGCAGAAGACATTATTTCTCATAAAAACGGAACCTCCCTGATCGCTGAAAGTATCATCAATTACATGAAGTGGAAGACATTATTTCTCATAAAAACGGAACCTCCCTGATCGCTGAAAGTATCATCAATTACATGAAGTGGAAGACAATATATCTCAGAATAAAGGAACCTACCTGATCGCTGTAAGTATCATTAATTACATGAAGTGGAAGACATTATATTTCAGAATAACGGAACATTCCTGATCGCTGTAAGTTTCATCAATTACATTAATTTAAATATTTCAAATTGCCATTCACAAGTTCATATTGATCATTCACTGATCATTTTGTACCAAAAACTAAAAAGATCGATGAATAAAACATAAAAAAGGACTTTGACATTGTTCTCTATTTTTATCCATTTCCCAGATTGCCTCCACTTTGGTTGATGGACGACAAGTTCATTAATTATGGGTAAAATGG